GCTCTTTGGAGAGGGTTGTGGACTTGATGGGCTGAATGGCCTGCTACCACTCTGTGATTCTAGAAATAACGTTGAAGTAGCAGGATAAATACATAACAGAAACTGACAATCTCATGCCAAACAAGCTTGATCTTAAATCAAAAGTGAATAGGAAAACATGACCACCAAATATCCTGCAGGTGGCAAGGAATGATAGGATGAGGAAAAAAAAGTTAACTGGAATAAATACCAAAAGCTGCAGAGGCAAGTTACATGAGTGATAATGATGGCAAAGGGGATCTATATAAGAACAATTCCACAAATTACATGAATAAGAAGCTGCTTCCTGTTGTAATCCTAAGAGGGCAATCAAAAGAAACCTTAAAGAGGCTTGAAACTGAGGAGGAGTACAAATTACTAAAAATTCTCAATAATTACTTCATCCAAAGCTTGCACAGCTCAGGCATCAGGAACCTGATCTCCACAATGAAGAAGCAAGTCAAAAAAACAACAAAGACATCAATTTAAATACTAGACAGACTAAAGGCGTTCAAAACAAATAAACCCTAGGTCAGTAAGATGGTATTTCCTCCAGAGGGCTGTTACGAGAGAGAGAATAACATGGGCAGTGTATAGAAAAAAAGGCAAACGTGTCAAAAAGGGAGGGGAAAAAAAAATGACCCATCTACCATGGTCCACCACAGGCAACTACAGATCATTAGTCTTCAATTAGCAGGTATAAACTTGAATGTGTGCCTAACCAGGTACACAGGGAGAAATTCAGAAAGGGAAGATCCTTCCCTGAGTCACCTTCTTCACTTCCACCAGGGAATGACATCCCATAGGATCTGTATGAAGTCCAATAGCATGTTGCACCAAGACTCCTAAAACACTTTTGAAAGTTCCATATGAAATGTGATTAGTTACACTCAAAGCTGTGAAAATTGAAGATAAATTGAGAGTCTGGATAAGAAATTGGCAGTTATGAAGAACACAAAAGGCAGGTTGTTAGAGGAATTATGTTGGGATGGGAGAGGCTAGCGACTGGGGAGCCTGATGCTGTTATCTATAAATTTATATCAATGATTTGGACTTGGCGATATGATCCCTGGTAAATGGGTTTTACAGCCTTTCAGATTTTACGAAACGCTTTTAATTTATTTTAGCCCTAACAAATCGAACATCTCTCTAAACTGCATTTCACTGTAAGCCGTGTAGACAGCAGGACTCCAGCTTTTCACCTCAGCAAACCCACCTGCTGAGTCACAATCCTACATGTCTGTAACTAGTAATCGCTTTGAATCTATCTAGTAAACTCTTAAAGCAACAGGCCCCCAGTGTGTTAAGCATAATACCATTGAAGTGTAATTCCAAAAACTAAAATGATAAACTAAGACACATGAACTATGGAACTAGATATTCACAACTTAAAAGACTAAAAGAAAGCTAGTTATCTTTTCAGACATCACTGAAGGGGCAAGGGAGGAAGCTCAGAAATGAACTAGACAAAAGTTTGGTTTTAACTGCCCCTCTGTGAACATCTCAAGACATTTATCTGAATTAAAAGGCACTGTACCAAATTTTTGCTATTTTCATGAATATAATAGTGCCAAATGAAATGCCATAAAAATATTGCACATATGAAGTAAAAATAGGCATCTCCACAAATAGTGTTGCAATATCTAAAGATGTAATCTCCACATTCCTCATTCAAATTCTTCAGCTAATGATGCAGCAGCAATTATCAAAGCCAACAGAATGCTTAATTCACAAAACAAGTTAGTGCTTGAAGACTGTGGCCAGTTCCAGTCATTGAGACATACGGAAGACATTCCAGTATTGAGATGTTATAGAAGAGCTATGAGGTGAGAATTAATCTCACAGGTCTCAGCAACAAAAAGGGATTTTTGCCTCTAAAAGTGCAAGAAAGGCAACATATGGATTGTCATACCTACAAATTAGAAATAGGAGTAGGCCATCGGCCCTACAAGCCAGCTTCCTATCCATTCACTTAGATCATGGCTCATTTGATTTAAAGCTCAACTCTATATTCCCATGACTGATGATGACATCTCACCCTTTCGCTTATCAAGAACCTACCTACCTTAGCCTTAAAAGCCTTCAAAAGATTCTGCCTTCATCAGTTTCAAAGAGAGTTTCAAAGAAACACAAAAAGAATCTTTCTTTCTGTTTAAATGAATGAACTTTTTTTCAAACAATGACTCCTGGTTCTGGATTCTCCCACAAGACAAAACAGCCTTTCCAGATTTAACCTGTCAAATCCCCTCAGAATCTTCCATGTTTCAATCAAATCACCTTTTATTGTTTTAAACTCCAGCAGATATAAGTCTAGCCTGTCCAGTCTTTTCTCATTAGACTTCCCATCCATTCCAAATATTGGTCTAGTAAACCTACTTTGATCTGTGTCCAATGCATTTACAGCCTTCCAGAAGTAGGGAGATCATATAGAGGTATGAATCCTGGCAGTATGCAGAAGTTAAATCCAGAATTCCAGTTAAGTTAAGTCCAGATTCAACAGCTACAGTAGGATGCAGAGCTGGTAAAAGGATAATTTAAGATCAGATTTAGTCAGGGAGAAGCTTGTAAGGTGGTTCCTAGCAGAGGAGGAGAAGGAGAGACAGAGTTTTATGTAGGAAATCGCAAAGTTGAGGATATGGACAATAATTCTAGACTAAATGAGACGTAAACAAATAGAGTTTCATTTAAAGGAAAGCCAGTATGAATTTTTAAAGACAAAATGAATTCATTTTGTTGGAGCTGTTTTAATGAGGTAGCATGGAGCTGTGCAGTTGACGTGGCATGCCCAGACTTCTGGAAAGCATTTGATACAGTGCTGCACGACAGATTTTTGAGCAAAGTTAGAGCTCATGGAACAAAAGGGATGGTAGCAACATGGATACAAGTTCACCGACTGACAAGAAACAGAAGTAATGTCTGCTGGGGGAAGGTTTGTAGTGGAGTAACAGTTTACTTTTCCTGATATATATTAATGATCTAGAGTTTGGTGTAAGGGGTACAGTAAAAAAATTTGAAAATAATATGACATTTGGAAGCATTGTAAACTTTGGACGATGACAGAATAGAACTTCAAAAGGGCATAGACAAGTTGGTGGAAAGAGTGGATAGATGACAGATGGAATTCAATGCAGAGAAAGGTGGTCATACATTTTGGAGGGAAGAACATGGAGAGGAATTAATAAATAGGATAACTGTAAAGACTGCGCAGGAGCAGAGGGATCTGGGTGTATATGAACATAAATAAAAGGTGGCAGAATAGATTGTGAAAGCAGTTAATAAACACAAAAGTACCCTGGGTTTTTATTAATAGAGGCACAGAGTGAACAGCTAGGAAGTTAAGTTGAATATTTGAAGATGCTCATATAAGTTTGGCCTCAACTGTAGTATTGCATCTGATTCTGGGCATCAGACTTTCAGAAAGATGTGAAAATATTGGAGACAGTGCAGAAGACATTTACGAGAGTAGTTTCAGGGATGAAGAATTTCAGTTATGAAGATAGACTGGAGATGTTAGAACTGTTCCTCTTGGAGAAGAGGAAACTAAGAGGATATCTAATTGAAATTTTCAAAAGCGTAAGAAGTCTGGACAGAGTAAATTGGAAGAAAATGCTCCCATTCACAAAAAAGATCAAAAACACAAGAGCAATGATTTACAGTAATTAGTAAAAGTGGTAGGTGGAAAAGTTTTTGCACACAATGAGTGATTAGGGTATGGGATGCTCTGCCTGACAGTGTGGAGAAGGCAGGTTTAATGCAGGTATTCAAAAAGGGAATAAGATGGTTGTTTGAAAGGAAACAATGGACATGGTTAGGGAGACAGCAGAAGAATGACACAGAGCGAAATTCTAATTCCAAGAGCAGGCAAAAACATGATGGGTTGAATGGCTTTCTTCTGCACTGTAACAATTCTCTGACAATTGAAGACACAGCAGCCAATGTTGGAGTAAAGGAACCAGAAATATGTAACAGGCCAATTTGGAAGACAGCTAAATATTTGTATATTACATTTGCTGATCAGGCACAGCATGTTACAAGTAGCAAAAGGATTCTACTTCCTCAAATATTCACATCATATTAACTACAAGTCAAAGGTAAACCTCCTTCCATACTGTACCATACATTAAAGTTGTGGTACAGTACCAGTTATATACTGAATGAAGCTCCCTCTACAATGTACCATCACAAACTTCCATGCAAGTTGCACAGTGAAGTTCTAAGTAAGCTCCGATAGTATACCTCGGCCCCAACTTCTGGACACCACTTCAACAGCACCTAATTTTGTACTTCCCATTCCAAATGTACTGCTAGATCCTGGATCATGTTGACCATTTCGTCCCAAATTAGGGACATGATTGCATTCCCTTTGGTCTGCCATGGACTCACACCTAGAAACGATGTGGCAGCGTAAAAGCATTTAACTTCCTCTAATAAACCTAAGCGTACAATGTGTGTGAGAACTGTACAGAGTTATTAGGAGGGCATCTTTAAATTGCATTATGCATCGATAGGTTTTACCCTAAAATATTGTTTCTCTCACATAACTTGACGGATCTATGCGCAACCCTTTCTGGTTTCGACATCATGTCTCCCAAGATCATTTCCAGCATAGCTTCATGCTTTAGAATACGAAGACAGGGCGCCTTTATCAGGTGCAGGTTAAAGCGGAACTCCCGTTGTGGAAGTTTGTAACTGTTGCAATGACACCTGCTGGGTTTGTGAAAGGACCTCAGCCCTTCGACCAGAAACTTTCTCTTCCAACACAACTGAAAACGGTTAAAAGGAGATCGCCGCCGAATAAAATCCTGGACCAGAAATGATGCCCGCTTTGAGCTCAGCGAGCGGTGGATGAAAAGAAAGAAACAAATCAAATATTGGCTGGAACTCCGGGGATTGTACTGTCGGCGGTCAGTACCACCACTGCATTCCGGGGGCATTACCCACCACCAGTCTCCAGTCTCAGCTCACGGGCATTGCCCTCTCACCTGCCCACCAGCTGCAGATACTGCTGTCTGTCCCCGAAAGTGAAGGAAGCCATGGTCCTCAGTGTCTACCGAATCTTTCGCAGTTTGTCCGGAATCAGGCGCCTCTGCTCCACCGCTCCGACACTGCAAAACAAAAAGCTGCTCAAAGCAGGCAGACTGTGGGGTAGGAGGAGCCACTATAGCGAGAGTCGCATTCGACTACCAGATAGAGGAATGGGCACGGTCATGAGACAAGTTTCTTGGCTGTTTTGGGAGCAGATTGACAGAGGGTGACTGGAAAGACCTTACTCTGCGGGGAGCCAGAGCTTTGGAACTATCAGCAAAACGAGACCAACCAGCTCGAAACACGCACAACCAGATTCCTTTCATTTCCCATTGCTAATACACCACACATACCTGGCCCATTATCTAAAAGCTGCACCGTGATTTTAGCTAGCATCTCCCAAGCTCATCAACTAAACATTCGACAAAAAACTTGTACAATTTCAAATGTTCTAATCTTGCCATAAATCTAAACTAGCCTAACAGAACCTTAACTTAATTGAAACCTAGCCTAATCCTAACCAAAATTAACTCAGATCTAACCAAACAAAAGCAACATACTGAGGATGCTGGAAATCTGAAATAAAAATAACTTACTGGTGAAACTCAGCAGGTCTTCCTGAGAAGTCGTACTGGAACAAAGAATGCTGGAGTCCTGCTGAGTTTCTCCAGCACCTTCTTTTTTGTTATTCTAATCTAACCGCACCGGTCACCTAAATGAGCACTTACCTTCACAATTCAGAGCATTCCAGGATGCTCTGAAGAAGGGTCTAGGCCCGAAACGTCAGCCTTCCTGCTCCTCTGATGCTGCTTGGCCTGCTGTGTTCATCCAGCTGTACACCTTGTTATCTCAGACATTCCAGGATGCAACTCTCTGTTCCAATCCAACAAGGCTGCAGCATCTGTTTTAAGGATACACCTCCCTCCCACCACTTTCTCAGGATACTCTGGGAAAGAGCAGTCAATTATGTCTTGCCACATTCCTTAATAATCCAAAGATAAATCAGCAGCTGCTCCAAGACGGAAGGTATAAACGACAGAACAGTGAAAATTTTTGAATGTGTGAAGTTTAATTGAAGATGAAGATTAATTGAATCAGTGTTTAGCACTGCTGCCACATAGACCCAGGTTCGATTCCAGTCTTGGATGGCTGTCTGTGTGGAGTCTGCACATTCTCCTCACATCTGCGTGTTTTCCCCAGGTGCTCCAGTTTCTTCCCAGAAAGATGTGCACACTAGGTGGATTGCCTATGCTAATTTGTCCGCAGTATCCAGGGATATGCAGGTTAGTTGGGTTAACCACAGTAATGTGGGACTACAGGGATAGAGTGGGTGGCTGAGTCTGGGTGGGATGCTCTTCGGAGGGTAAGCGTGGACTCGATGGGCCAAATGGCCTCTTGCCACAACCTAGTGATTCCATGATACTATATTAACTAACTCTCTCACCTCTATGATTTGAACTGACAAAATTGTGCCTTAAAATGTGAATGGAATTTCCTTCCAATCAGCCACAATAACCATTAAAAAGATTTGCATTATATACAGTTCCAAAGGGTCATACTGGACTATAAACGTTAACTCTTTTTCTCTCCAACGATGCTGCTACAGCTAATGAGTTGAGTTTCTCCAACACTGTTTTATTGTATTTATATGGCACCTTGCATTACCAAAGCAAAGGCAAAGTTGCATTGTCCTACCAGACCATAGAGCTTTCTCTGTCATTGGAGAAAGATGACTGGTGGTGCTTTTACCTGAAGGTCACCACGCCTCAGGCAAGGGGAGAGGTTGAGAAGGAAAGCCGTTTGTGGTAACCTCACCCAGTGTGGGAAATGAATCCATGCTGTTGGCATCCCTCTTCATCACAAACCAGCCTTCTAGCCAACTGAGCTAACCGACCCTTGTTTACACTAACACCAACTGTCACAAAAGAAGATAGTTTACACACTGCTAGCTCCCACAAACAACAATATGATAATGACCAGATAATCTCTTTGCACTGTTGATGGAATGATTACTATTGGCCAGGCTACTAAGGTGAACTCCCCTGTTGTTTCAAAATAGTGCCATGGGATCTTTTGCATTCATGGAACAAGCAGTTGTGTTTCACAGGACCAAGACACCACGGTCAGTGCAGCATTCGCTCAGTATTGCCCTGGCGCATCAACAGTTCTTAGTGTAGAGGAATAAATGTTCTTCCCTACAGGAAATTATCCTGTCCCGATTTTTGGAAATCCAACATTTTAGAATTGAAATATCCTGAACAAGTTGCTTTTTCCTTTGTTCTTGAGAGAGGGGTGGGGGGACACTTTCTTCTATAGCCATAGGAGAGTGCTATAACTTGATATCCAATCAGTTAAAGCACGACATGGAATAAAGCTCCCTTCAACACTTATAGGTTAGGTACAGCGTGGGTTACAGAAGTCCATCTTCTGCCTCAGTAATATCGTTTCCAACACTTCCATGTTGCACGTCCGATATTTTTCCATTTTCCACAATAGACATCATGTGGCCTGATATTGCCCAATTTAGCCTTAAATTTGGAGCTTTTTAGTTCTAAGGAAAATTTGGGTCCTGTATTTGAAATATCAGTGTCTCACTGTACTGCAGTATCTATTGTTTTCTGTTTCATTTGCATTGCTTTCAGTACAGGTGTAGCCAGATTTTTATGTCAGACACACTTGCATCACAAGTGCATTCTGATCAGACAAAAAAGCATTCTAGAAAATAAAGTTATTCAATTTTCACAGTGCCACCACTCCTACAGTATTACTCCATGACTGCAGTATTTCTTCATGAATCTGTATAAAACCGGAGTAATTCAAACTCATCCTAGATGTTTGGAATCCACTGTCAGTGAGAGTTAATAGAAACCTGCTGCATAATCCTTGCATAGGTTATACACCACAATACAAAGCTTTCAAACTAATACATAATATGCTTGCTTAAAACAAACTGTCACAAGGAACTTGGAAAATGACATGGAAATTCAGCACTCATATCACAGAAATTGCACATTCTCAGTAGGAAGGTCAAAGCACCAGAACCCACACCATCACCCAACAAAAAAGCGGTGAAGGACATAAGATCTACACCCTGTCATCATTCAGTAGGTACAAGTGCTCCTTGAAGAGGAGAAACTTTTAGGGTGCGGGATCCGGTTTGATAAGTCTCTTAATGTTACCTAAAGAAATGTGATGGAATATTCTCCACTTGCCTGGATGAGCAATACTATCCTAACCAAAGCCCACTGATCGGCACACCATCCACCACCTTCAGCATTCATTCCCTTCTCTTCAAAGTGGCTGCAGTGTGCACAACCCACAAGGCACACTGCAATTACTCATTAAAGCTCCTCTGACAGCACCTTCCAAACCCATGGCTTCTATCACCTAGGAAGAGGATAGCAGATTCATGGGAACACTGCCCATTAGCAAGTTCCTGTACAAGTCAAACACTATCTTTACATGGAATAGTACATTGCCACTCTTTCAGTCACTGCATCAAAATTCTGGAACTCTCTTCCAAATAGCACTGTAGGTGTACCCACACCATTTGGACTGCAGCAGTTAAAGACGGCAGCTCACCATCACCTGCTCAAGAGCAATTAGGGATGGATAAAGCATTCTGGCCTAGCCAGCAATATCCAGAACCCAAGATCTAGTTCAGGTTTCTGTTCACACCTGGTATTTAAGAAAAAGAACTTGACAAGCTTTGCAAGTATAATAATGTAGTTATAACATATATAACAGTCATTCTTGTAAATCTATCATTTAAAAAAATGCTGACTTACTAATTACACGTTCCCAACATCCCATTAATTTGTCCAAATAACCCAACCCTGTCCCTAAAAGGTAGCCACAGGAATTACTACGTAGAGAATATAAAGGGTTTTTTCCTTTCCCTTATCCTAATGGGCTAAGGTCAATTATAACAACTATTAGAATTAGCACACTGTGCAGAGAGTGCTGATGGGATCTTCCATACTGCATGCCTAATGGAAACACTTAGCATTGTCTCAACCCAATGAACCATCAGGGTGTTTTACTTAAGGACCTATTCCAAAAGAACATAGTTGTAAAGCATCCCCAGATATTCTGCAACACCATGGCGCTATGTAAGTGAATGCTGTCACAGAGTTGAAACATGTTCTAAGTATGATCTCGTTGCTCAGGTATGATAGAAGCATAAAGAAAACTAATGTTCACAATCATCTACTTTTATTATAATCATAATTAAGTCCACAGAATACAGGCTGACACAATTGTGTTATAACCTAGGCAGTTTAGCCACTTTTCTCTCAGACATACACAGTTACTTTGCGTACATCCCTCCCTTACTCGAGGTCTTCTCTCCCCGTACGAATACAGTCCAAGCTGCTCCTTTCCTCTTTTGCCGTGCAACTACATTTGAGCTCGCTCTCGTTGTAGTCTGGAGTTATACGTCCGTGATACTGTGTTCCAGGCATCCATGTATCGATCCATACACATTGCTATACATTTCTGAAAGATATGGTTAAAAGAAGAGTGGAGTATAAATCCAATTCAATACACAGGGGTTAGCGAGCGGCTCCGATTTTACATGCTGAGGCTCAAGGATGTCATTCCACAAACAAGTTCCTATTTCCTACTAGACTAATTTAGTGATGCCATGTCCACGATGAGTGCTAAAACAATTCCATTACTATCTAAGAGTCATAGGACAGCCACCGAATCCTTTATTACTGTAATATTTTACAAAGCAAGAAAACTATATTTTCAAAAACAGATGTTATGTGAATTTAATGAATGCTTATCATTTTCTTCCTTGGAAAGCAAGAGTCCTTAGAATAAAAAGTATTTCTCCAGACTTCCATCTTCAAATTAAATAATTCCTAACCATCATTAGGCAGAGTATAAGTGATATTATTACAAGCTGAATATCAGCATGAAGATTCCAGGATTTAGCTGTTGTAGAAGATACAAAGTGAACACATCTCAGTAAATATTTCCAGTTTTGAGGTGGGATATACTGGTGAAAATCACTCATGTCATATGCACCTAGTACAGTGAAAAGTTTTGTTTTGTGTGCAGTACAGGCAGATAATACCATACAAAGTACATAAGAGTAACAGAACAGAGCAATGAATAGTGTGTTACG